TTTGGGAGTTTAGGGTTCAGGGTTCAGGGTTTCGGCTTCCGGGTTTTGAAATTTCAGGATGTAACGTTTAGGTTTCAGGGCTTCAGGAGTTTAGGGCTCAGGGTTCCAGGTTTCGGCTTCCGGGTTTTGGGATTTCAGGATGTAACGTTTAGGTTTTGAGGGCTTTAGGCTTTAGGGTTCAGGGTTTAGGGTTTAGGTTTAGGGTTTAGGGTTTAGGTTTCAGGGCTTTAGGATGGGAGCTGGTGTTTGGAGCCTCTCTGAGGGGATCCAGGATGAAGTGCATTGCAGTTCCCAACGGTTCAGGATTCATCTAGCCGACCTGCCCACGCGCTTAGTTTATGGAGTTGGGGGTACAGGGCGTGTCTAGCCTACCTAACTAATAACTAACTACCCTCATTTTAGAGAATGGTGGCCGCGTGGCTTGCAATACTTGGCGTTTCCAAGAAATTTAATGCAGGCAGTGCCCAAATCGGTCTCCTTTTTCGTCTTCATCGCTTTTAAGTTGCCACTCTGAAAACCCCGAGGGACCACTAGAATACTAAATAAATGCATGTTGTTGTGGACGCAAAAGGGGTATCGATCAAGACGCCGACATTTCGAAGGCCAATGTCCTCGAGATGCTCTCTTACGTGGGAAGCTTAGACGCCTGTAACTGGCATCGCCAACTCACATCAAAGATGATAATCAGCGGGCCCGAAACGGGTCTATGTAGGGAGCTGTTTGGTTCCATTTAGAACGCTCTTTGTCTGCATTTAGAAGGTTTTGGGGTCCATTTAGGTCGCAAAGAGCAGGGCTGTTGGACTCACATACCATACTGTAATACAGAAGCCTAAAAATGTACCCATATCACTGTAAGGGCTCACTACTATACTTATAGTAGAACATAGCAGAACATATCCCAAAACGCTGTTCTAATTACTAAGGCCCCTACTGTAGAGAAGGTTCTAATTCTTACGGCCCCTACTTTAGAGAAGGTCTCTCTGGATCCCTGGGCTGTCAGTCGCTCGAGGTTTCGACGGAGTCCCCTAAACCCTAAACTTTAGGGTTTAGGGTTTAGGGTTTAGGGTTTAGGGTTTAGGGTTTAAACCCCCAAAACCCTAAACCCTAAACCTCAAACCGGAAGCTGGGAGTATCAGAAAGCAGGGAACTCTTGGTCGAAACTTGATATACCCAGAGAGCCCAATGCCCCTTAATTAAGCAATATACCTTAAAGTATAAGGGGCTTCATATTATGACTTAGGGTATATTCCTTAATTAAGGGATATTGGGCTCTCTGGGTTGATGTAAACCCTAGACCCTAAACTGGCCGTAAAACCGAGCCACTCAACACTAGGGTCCTCGATGCAAGGACCCCTAACCCTAAACCCTAAACCCTAAACCCTAATGGGACCCAAAACTTGACGAAACCCACTTTTCCTCAGTCAGGTAGTTGGGTAGTTCTCTAGGTTTAGGTAGGTGAAATTAGGGTCCCGTTTTGTTCTCAAAATCAGGAGCACGAAAGGGGCTCCTAATTGAAAGAACCCCCCCACCTCCACCCCGAAGAGTGCAAGGATTGCAGCCCTGAGTAGAGTCCTAAACCCTAAACCCTAAACCCTAAACCCTGAAGCTTGTCGCTTTAAGACCGAACCCAAGCCCGACCTAAGGGTTTCGTCTAGGAGCCTTTTAGAATGCTTTTGGCGGTTCCTCTTAAGGGTTCCTTAAAGGGTTCTCTAAGGGCTACTATAAGGGTTTAGTTTAGGGGCCTTAAGAATTAGAAAAGGGTCTTGGGGTCCATTATTCGATAGTTATAAGAAGTAGTATTGGTACTTATTTAGGCCCCTATATTCGCCCTAACACAGCATTCCGTTATTACTGCGGCCTTGATACATGAATAGGGCCGTGCGGCATATATACTTGACTGAATAGTAGTTGTAGTTATTATTCAGGCTTCAAAGTTACCTCCCGCCTCCTTCAAAACCCTAAACCCTAAACCCTAAACCCTAAACCCTAGCTCTGGCCTGAGGTGCATAGCCTCGGCATCGACCACGTTCGGGAAGCCGACATGGTCTGGATTGCCGAGGAGGCCATGGGACTCAGATTTTACTTAGGGTTTAGGGATTAGGGCTTTGGGTTTAGGGATGAGGGTTGAGGGTTTAGGGATGAGGGTTGAGGGTTTGGGATTAGGGCTTAGGGTTTAGGGATTAGGGTTGAGGGTTTAGGGATTAGGGCTTAGGGTTTGCGGTTTAGGTTTAGGGTTTAGTGTTTAGGGATTAGGGTTGAGGGTTTAGGGACTACTAAATACTAGTTTGTTTGTTGGCTTCCGGGTGGCTCATGGTTGAAAGTAGGAGAGGCACAAGGTTTCTGAGTTTAGGGATTTCAGCTGAATGTAGGGGCCTTAGTAAGTACCGATACTATTTTGGGGGCTCCTTATTGTACTTATACAATAAAGGGGCCCAAAACCCTACTCTCATTGTTAAGGCCACTATCTTAAGCTTTCGTCCCTTGTCATCCACAGCTGTTCCTAGCGAACTCTTGCTTTGAGAAGGGGTGAGAGTTGCGTGGGGACTGGCGCTTCAGCCCATGCTGAAAATCAGAGATGATAAAGGACCAAAGAGCCACGGTTTAGGGTTTTGGGTTTAAGGTTTAGGGTTTAGGGTTTAGGGTTTCAAAATTCTCATGGACCAACCCTGAACCCTAAACCGTAGGGGCCAGCAAGCATCCTACAGTACGGTTTGTGTTTCCTTTCCTCCGAGGCCTACAACGCCCCACTTCCGCCTGGCTGGACGGAGCATGTGGATGCCAACGGCCGGAGTCTCTGCTTTCCAGGACCTGCCTTCCTTTGTAGCCATGAATAGGGGTATATGTCCATAAGAGTAGGCATTTCTGGTAGGAACTATAGTACTTGAACTGCGGCTTCTGCCAAATTCTAGGCATGTAGGGTGCAGAACAGGGTGGCTAAAGTGTCTAGCGTTTTCGCTGCCAGTCATTTGGGACATCAGCTGCAGTACGTGAGGCCCTGGAGCAGCATCCGCAACGACCCGGGAGCGAAATCCTCGGCCCAGAAACCTTAAAACCCGAAAGCCCTACAATCCTGAAAACCTTTAGGGTTTTGGGTTTAGGGTTAAGGGTTTAGGGTTTGAAAAGCCAGCCTAGCAGACATCTTCAGGGACAGTAGCCTCGACAACCCAGTTCCTCTTCATGACGCACTGTGCCTTAACATTGGGGCCAACTGCTTCGGGTAGAGGCTGGTAGAGGGGTTTCTTCAGGTGATTGAAGCTGTATTGCTTAATGGGTTAGCTTGTATTGGGCTCTTGGGGAGAGCAGCTCGCCGTCAGCAACAATCGACACAGGCAGCGGGTTCGGAGCGCAGGGTTTGAGCTCTGGTATTTGGTACCGACAACTACGAAGTGCTAGACTGGTACCAGTACGGCACAGTATATAGTATGCTCGGAACCCTAAACCCTAAACCTTAAACCCCAAACCCTAAACCCTTAAGTCGGAAGCAAAAAAAACTAGACCTTAACAGTCATTATTCTATTTGCGTAGATGCGTGGCAGCGGAGATCCAGTTCTGAATCGAGGCCGAACTTACTTCTACAACACGAACCTGCGGGAGTCGCTATGGAAGCATCCCATGGATCAGGACCGCCTGAGGGCTTAGAGCTTAAATGGATCAGTTTGTTTTTTTTCCATTTTGTTTGGTAGCCCATTTTCTACGCAGCAAGCTAAGTCGTTGTTTCTACACTAAGATGCCGACCCGGTGGGTGTAGGACCAGTAAGTATGATTCAACCGCGGTCCTTGTCAACTTCAGGCCAAAACCGTGTTGCACACTGTTCTGATAGTATGCCACTGTACCATAGCATGGTAACATTACAAGGAGCTTAGGGTTCTCTGTACGACATGGCAAGTTGTAGCCCATGGGCTGCTTAACCTACGACGTGGGTGCAGGTTAACCATCTGAAATTCCAGGAATGAGATTTCAGGTTGATGTGGTTTACACAATACAACTGATTTCAGGCATTTTTGTTTGTAGGCTGGCAGAGTGACTGGCCTTTCAGTCCGCGACCCCCGTTCTCCTATGAGAGACTCCGCCTCATGTCTGAACGAACGCAGTGCGAAGCACACATACATAGGCATACATGCATACGTGTTTGTGTGTGTGTGCGCGCTTTATTCCTGCATATACATTTCCATGTAATGTAATGTAATGTAATGTAACGTAACGTAACGTAACGTAACGTGAGGTAATGTAATGCAATGTAATATGCATGAATGCTTGTATGTATGTGCGTAGGTATGCATGTATGCATTTATGTATGTATGTATGCAT